TTAGCTTGCATTCCTTCTCTGATGCGAATTATGGAGGATGCAAATTAGATAGGAAAAGCACCTCCGGTACTTGCTAATTCCTTGGGAATATGCTGATTTCTTGGTTTTCAAAGAAACAAAATTGTATTGCATTATCTACCACTGAAGCGGAATATATTTCAGCCGATAGTTGTTGTGCACAAGTTTTATGGATGAAACAATAACTTTTTTATTATGGAATTGAAGTAGGTACCATCTTAGGAGACTTTGGACACTTAGGAGAGAATTAGGTTTAATTGACCTATCTTAGGTTACTGTTTAAAATAATTTTAACATTTTTAAGAATAAATGAAAAATGCTTATAATAGTAATTTTTTATTGCATTAATTGCTATTAGTTAGGGGGAGTTTATGTTCTTTGGTGAAAGTTAATTTTATGTTCAAATGTTGTTTAAGGATTAATTTGATTGATTGAACATGATTAATTTTCAATATATGAGTTGCCAATACCACTAGAGCTAATTAATTTTGCAATTGTAAGTGTTTAAAATGGATTTTTGTCATTTTTGTGCTTCATGCATCGATGCACTTAACAGTGCTCGATGCATCCCTTTGAATGTGCATCGATACACCATGAAGGTGCACCGATGCACGCCTAGAATGTGCATCGATGCATCCGTCGGGTTTTGGGTTTAAAAGGCTTATTTTCTTATTTGTTTCAAACACTAAAACTAAACCCTCTCTAGCCATCCGCCTCTCTTCCTCTCTAAATCCTCCATTTGCTCAAAATCAACGAAAATTTGTCAGAATCTTCGAGCTTTTCATCTTTATATCCTGCTACTATCATTAAACCGTGCAACACAACATCTCATTCTCTTCAATCCGAAATTTTCAAGGTATTTTTCTAAAAACTTCTAGTTTATCATATTTTGATCTTAAGACTAGTTCTAGGATGAACATTATATCGGGCATTGATTGTTTGATGATTTCAAACTAGATTTTACAACCAATTTCATCAAAAACTCACAAATTTTCAAAGAATTTTTGAAATTAAAAAAAATATCAGAAATCTGAATTTAATTTTTAAATATGATGTTTTTTTATTTAATTATGTTTTTTTCATGAAAAACTATACATATTATAAATTTTCAAACATTGTTTTCTAAATAGTTTTTCAAAACTATGACCATTAGGATTTGATTTAGAGAACCTTGAATTATTGGGACTCAATTGAGTTTTGGGATTGATTAAATTGCATACATGTGTTTCAATTTGCAGGTTATATTCCTTTTTCTGATTCCTAAACCATGTCTAATCCCAAACACCCTAGAACTTCATCGAGTTGTTCTCGTTCAAACCAACCTCCTAATCCCGTTCCTCCTCCACCTACATCTCCTATAAGATCATGTTTTAATATGACTGAATGTCGTAAAGACGACTTGTACTCTAGGTACATAAATTCTTTCTAATCCTATAGAATCCAGGAATAGCGTATTCCTTCTCTTCAAGCCATGGTAGATATTGACTTCGAATACCTTCCGATTCTTAAAACATGGAAGTTTGATAAAATGTTTCACCTCAAACCTATCTTATATCATCAGTTAGTCCACATTTTCTACTCTAATGCGGTATGCATTCAAAACCAAACTCAGTGTGGAACTATAGCAATCATATCCTACATTTTAGGACAATATATTAATATTGACCCGGAGACTATAACTTTCCATTTTGGGTTAGATGACGATGGTATTTTTAATGAGAATGAAACTGTGGATTATCCCTATGTTCCAAACGCTAGTGTTAGTACTCTATGTTCTCATCACGATCGTTTTCTTCATTTGATGATCTCTTGGTGGTTTAGATCATCCGGAGGTAGATACTCCACTCTTCATGCTAGGGATTTATGGTGGATGCACTGTCTCAAGAATAAAAACAAAATAAATATGCCCCACATTATTTTTAGTCAACTAGTGGATATCATAAACATCGTTCCTTCAAAACATGTCGAAACATTAGTTTATGGATGTCTTATAAGTAACCTTTTTATCAAACTCGGTCTAAATGTCTCTCTTGACAATCCTATTCCTCTCCAAAACCCAATCAATCTCACCTCGTTGAAGAAAGAGAATTGGAAACAAGACGAGGAAACCGGTCTTTGGGACTTTCGACCCAGGAAGCAAACTCCGGGAGCGAATTCTTCACGAGCTGCTCCTAGCTCCTCTCGTGCTCCTCCGGCTCCGACTGCTGACGATGATCCTGAATTTCAACAGCTTATGCAAGATATCGACGATCACGTACCAGATGATGAGCCTGCACCGGAACAAGCTCCACAAGAGGATCAAGTGCCTCCATATTTTCGTTCGTTTTTGGAGACATTTGATCTACGGTATGATTCTATTGAATCCCACTTGACTGCTACTCACGAAGCGGTAAATCATCGCTTATACACTTTGGAAGCTCGACAGATGGAGTTTTAAAGGGATATGTTTTCACGTATGGATGCTCTCTCTCTTGAGATGCAAGCACGATTTCCTCCTCCTCCCGATCATTCGATGGAGTAGATCTATCCTTGTCATGCTTTCTTGATTTTAAAACTTGGATTGATTTTGATGTTTCTGGAGTGTTTGTTTTGGTTTGTTAAATGTTTGAATTTGTTAAGAGTTGGATGATTGGATGTTTGAACTTAATATATATATATATTTGGTTTGGTTGAATTTTCTTATTTTTGCATCATTAGTCATATATGCCCAATTATGCCATTTCACATTTGATTATGAATATTGTTTATGAAAGCTAATGGCTAATCTCTCTTTTGATCTTTGATCTTAGCAGCTGAAGCTATATATATATATTTAATCAATTGGCTATGTTTTTCAAAACCTTGTTTAGATCGTTTTAAAGTCTTTTTGATTTAACAAAAAGGGGGAGAAGTGTAAAAATGTTAAAGGGGAGAAGTGTTAGAGTAGGGGGGAGTAATTTTTCAAAATTTATTTTCAAAGAAAATCTTAAAATTACACACATGTTTTGTTATATCAAAAAGGGGGAGATTGTTGAAAACATTTTGATGTTTCGATATAACAAATTAAGTATAAATGAATTTTAAGATTTTGCAAATGATTTTCTAAGTATATTCGATTTAATTTCTCAAATATCAAATTATTACTCCAAGTCTTCAAGATCAATTTCAAACCTTACTAAATGTGTAAAATTGTGTTTTATACTTAATATATTTTTGAAACAATTTTCACAAAGTATTTTGAACCAAAATCAAGCCTAAAATCAATTTTTCAGAGTGATGCACCGATGCACCAATCCATGCATCGATGCACCATGGAATAAATTGAACATCGAATGCATTTCATGCATCGATGCACATACTATGCATTGATGCACTCAGAGTTTTATGAAAACATCGAATGCATTTGATGCATCGATGCACTCAGGCTATTTTGAAACATCGAATGCATTTTATGAATCGATGCACTCTTAGTGCACCGATGCACTAAGGGTCCAACAGTCAAAATATTTGAATTTTACACTTGATATACCGATGCACCTTGGGTATGCATCGATGCACTGACTCTCCCAACTGATTTAATTAATTGTTTTCACACTTAAACGGATCTATTGACTCCACTAATCATCCCTAATGTTCATAATCATTTGAAGGAGTATTTAAACAAGCTTAGAAGCCATTGATCAAAAACAAGAAAACACAAGAAACAAGAATCAAGAGAGAATCAAAGAGAAACAATCAAACCTCAAGTTTGAGCATTTCAAGCCTATTTTTCATTCAATATTCATTTTGCTTTCAAGAACACTACTTGTACTCAATTGTATTCATTTTTGAGTGTTCTTTTCTTTGTTCTAGAATTGTGCAAACAATCTACCTTGTGAGGATTTCCTTGTAAGTTTGCAAATTTGTAATATTCTCTTTGAGAAAGAGTGTTCTCAAGAATTGGGGTATATTCTTGAGGGAGTTGTAAGGTTATCTCTTAGGCCTCAAAAGAAAAAACAAATTAGTGAATTTGTTGGAAAATCCTTAGTGTGGATAGCTAAGGTAGTGGACGTAGACTTTGGTTGAGAAAGTCGAACCACTCTAAATCGCTGTGCAAAATTCACCCCCTCTTGGTTGATTCCGTCGATCGATTAACTCAACAATAACCCTTTAAAAGACACTTGAGAGATTGAATAACTAATTAAAGCTCATTTCCCACATTTTTATAACTTGGGTAAATTTTAAAGACGAAATTTCTTTTAAAGAGGAGATAATTGTAACACCCCGAATTTAATTAAAAGATTAAATGGAGAAGTATAAAAAAATAAATAAAAAATAAAAAGTGTGCCTAAGTGCTGAACCCATGACCTAAGGCATGGCTAACCATGCCTCAACCACTAAACTAAGTTTCTATTTAAGTTGTAAATTAATAAATATATTATTTGATTATATATGTACTAGATCAATTCCCAAACAAAAACCCCCAACCGAACCAAGCCCTAGTCCGTCGCCCTTCTCGTCGTTTACCTTTCGGCCGCCGGTGACGAACACCGTCACCACTAGTGTATGCATCGTTGATTCGCGACCAAAACCCAACGGGCCACACTCCGAGAAGCCCCGTCGTTTGTTGTAGAAAGCCCCACAAAGATTTGTTAGAGTTCAAGCTATCTCATTCGGATTTTCAATGTTTCTGACCGATCCCGTCGTCCGTTCACAACACCGTCATCTTTCATGTGCTCCCGACGTTTTACGAACAAACCCTAACTGATGGTTTTCCTCACCGTTGCTCCGCCGTTATCACTCGCCCGTCACCATTGGAAAAAGTTTGAACATTTTGATACTCCTTAAATTAGAAAATCATTTTTTAACCTTAAATTATTTATATAAAACAAGGAATAAAATGAAACATCAATTTTTAACCTTAAAGTAGACTGGTTTTCTTTACAGTTTCCTATTATTCCTTGTTTACCGACAAAAGAAAGAAAAAAAGAAGGGCCAAATAAAAAAGGCCACTCCAGTTGTCACGCGCCTTGTCTTGTTCATTCCTTTGCCATTCCTATACCATCAAAGGCGTAGCACCGGATCTCACACAACAAATCCAATAATGGGATCGCTTCCTCCGCCACTCGACCTCCCATCTCCGCCGCCCAAATATCCCCTCCATGAGCGGATTTCCGAGACTACCCTTCTCAGCCTCTTCAAAGCCCAACAAGGTCACCTCAATTACTTCTTCCAGAACCTCGATCTATCCATAGCATTATCTTTCACCGAAACCCTCCTTAATTCCCGCGGCACCATTTTCTTCTCCGGCGTTGGAAAATCCGGATTCGTTGCCAATAAGATCTCCCAGACCTTGGTTTCTCTCGGCATCTGCTCTGCCTTCCTCTCCCCTCTCGATGCCCTCCACGGCGACATTGGGGCACTCTCCTCCACCGACATCCTCGTCCTCTTCTCGAAATCCGGCTCCACCGAAGAACTCCTGCGTCTCATCCCCTGTGCTAGAGCCAAGGGGGTTTATCTCATTTCGGTTACCTCCGTTCCCGAAAATGTCTTGGCAAACGCTTGCGATATGAACGTGCATCTTCCGTTGGAGAGGGAATTGTGTCCGTTTGATATGGCGCCGGTTACTTCCACGGCGATCCAGATGGTATTTGGGGACACGGTGGCTATCGCTCTAATGGGAGCTAGGAACTTGACTAAGGAGCAATACGCGGCCAATCATCCTGCAGGAAGAATTGGGAAAAGCCTTATTTTTAAGGTTTGTTTTGATTAAAAGCTGGTTTTCAGATCAGTTTCCCCTCCCCCCCCCCCCCACAAAATGTGATTGCTGTTGGTTACGAGATTCTGGATCATTAATGGGGTTTCATTGATATTTTAAAAGATATTTATAAAGTTGGTTCCCCTCAATTGTTTGAGATCTGGGTTTTAATTTAGAGTTAAAGATGGGTCTTTATGTTTACTATTGAAGAAATATAATTTGTTGGACTTTTAGACTGATGGATAAGTGCTTTTCGTATGTAGGTGAGAGATATAATGAAGAAGCAAGCTGAACTTCCAGTTTGCAAGGAAGGAGATTTGATAATGGATCAGCTGGTGGAGCTTACTAGTAAAGGATGCGGGTGCTTGCTGGTTATAGATGAGGAGTATCACCTGCTTGGCACATTTACAGATGGTGATTTGCGGCGTACTCTTAAAGCTAGTGGAGAAGCCATATTCAAGCTCACCGTCTGTGAAATGTGCAACAGGTAAACCAAATGACGAATGTTCATATGTGTTGTAGTAAATTTTTTATGTTTTTGATTATTGGAGTAACCATTTTGTTTTTAATCAAACTCACTTAAATCCTTATCGGGTAATATCAGGAAACCCAGAACCATCGGTCCGGATGCAATGGCAGTGGAAGCCATGCAAAAGATGGAATCACCGCCTTCTCCGGTACAATTTCTGCCTGTAGTCGATCATCAAAATATCCTTATTGGTATTGTCACATTGCATGGATTAGTTTCAGCTGGTCTTTGAAATATAGAGCCCGTCTTGTGTCTAGTTTTTGAATGTTGATGTCCTTTGATAATTCTTTTGTGAGTGTTCAAGTAGAATTTGAATTCAACCTGATGATAGCTTATGTATTCTTGGGATAATTATGTATCAATTTATTAATTCTATGTTATCTATTTTGAGAATTAAGAGGAGTTTCTTGCAAAGCTTGCAGAAACCACACTGATAAGCTGTAGCTGACAACAACGTGATAGTTCATTGCATATGTTCGGTTCAATTGGCAGACATCTTAATAAAATGTGTATAGAAAAGCCTTACCAAAATTGTGCTCAAATAGGCCATAATTGCACTTTTTGAAATACATTTTAATATTTTTTAGTTAAAAGGGATCCATACTTCAGCCTGAGAGATCGATCTATTAGTTTAATCCAAACTAAGCACTAAGGTCAAAGGGGTTGATCTTTTTGTCTGAATGTTTGGTTCTTTGTGTAAGGGATCGATCCTTTCTTCAAAAGAACTGATCATTTTTCTGGAAAATTGCATAAAATAGTGTGAAGGAGCACTTTTTTTTGTCTTTAACATGCATTTGATTGGTTCTAGTGTTAATGAACATACTTGATCATGGTTTAAACATACCATACATATCAAAACATCATATAATCATACATCATAACATCCAAATTATGTTTGAGTATACCAATGGATCAAAAGTCTATTTATACAATTCAATTTACATTTTGGGAACTCACCTAGTCATATTTGGCAATTTAGGTCTTTTTACCATTTTAGCAAGGGTAACATACTTTGTTTATCCTAGAAAAATCACCTAAAACTAAAGATTTGGCATGTTTAGTAAAATTTGCATACAACATGCATACAAACCATTCTTGCAAATCATGGATCTTACAAGTCCTAAATGAACATTGTCAACTATATGGTCATATTAAATGAGTTCAACTTCCAGCTTATAAGTTTGATTTGTGTGAACATGCCTTCATGCTAGGAACATAATTAAAATTTTTGACATTGCATTGCTTTTGAAAAGTGTTTTTAAAAGTTTTGTTAGAAGGCGATTTTAAAAGTGTTCTTAAAAAATGAGTTTAAAATTTTAGTGTTTGATATTGATATTAAAAAGTACTTTTGAGAAGATAAAATGTTTGTTTTAGACATTATATTATAAATTAAAAATATAATAATTTAAATTTATTTATATTCAACTTAAATTATAATAAGAGTATAAATAATAAATATAATTATAATAAAAAATAATTTATAATAATTCACTATTAGTATTTCAAGATATGAATCATAGATTTTAATTACTTTTAGGTAATTAAAAAAATGAATAATCAAAATAATTACACTATTTATTTAAAGATATTAACAACAAATTATTGAAACAAAATAAGAGTTAAATATTTATAATTTGTAAAAATTAGATTTTTAAATATTTTTCCAAGGCAAAAACGATTGTATTAAATGAGAGCTTGGCCAAGAAGGGTAAAAATATTATTTTACTTCCAAAGCAATTTAGAAACCAAAAAGCTGGATTTTATCAACTTTTGCGGTCAATTCAAAATTATCGTTGAAAAATTGATTTTATATTTTTTATTAATTGTTTAGATAAATTTTACGTTTTCACATTAATATGGGGTCAGTATAAGATAATACATATTCGAAGATAAGTTTGAACAATTTGACATTGAACAGTCATATATTTGGCATCCATGATGTTCAAATCCGAGATCTCAATAAATAACAACAATTGTTTTACTATCAAAATTACTTGTTTCGTGCTAGATTTTACATTTTAAACGAATTTTTAATCCAAAATCACTTCTAAAAGAGCTCTCTAACGAAGCATTGCCATAAGAATACATACCACAACAAAGTTATTCGAAAGTCCACTAAAAGCATCCCTTAAGCCACTGCTTTTTATTATCTTGATTGCTCATATTTTAAAATTATATACACAAGAACACTTGCATGTGATACATTGAAAATTCTTCACCATTTCAAAAATCACAACGACACTACAGCTTTTCATCTGATTTATTGTCTCTTTTATTCGATATGAAACATAATCTAATCACAGTCATTGGATAAACGGATTTTCTCGCCTCACAATAAATTTAAAGAGGCAAACATGTTCTATCAAAGTATAATATTTTGCAAATACTCTTCAACACACTAAACATACCCATGAATGGATTACCATTCACTTTTCTCTCTAATATGTCTTAGGGCATCAATCTCCCTAAATCACAAGTCACACAGTGACTATTCAAATCCTATCACATGTTAACTATATTCAATAGTATCAAGATAAACAATAAGCCAATAGACCCGTATTACACGTATTTATTCATTATTTTAATGCACACTCCTTTGTTTTAGTTCAGCCTTTCAAAAGCATATTCACAATTTCAAGCATGCTTTTCACAAAAACAATATCACAATTCAGTGACTAGCCGTCTCGAATATTTTCGGGATCTTGAGTGAAACTTAAATATAAATTATTATAGAATGAAAATATATTCTATTACGTTGGACAATTAATTTAATATTATATTATTAAATCATAGAAAATTGATTAAATTTCGTCAAATATTATTTTCATTATTTTGTTAAGAAAACACCTTAAATACAACTAAGAGAATAAATAAAAAATTGAATTTGGGTATAATACAAATTTTAATTTTGAACAATAAATAAAAAAATAAAGAATAATACATTATTTTACCATTAGATTGAGATTTGAGAAGACTAAGAGTTACAAATATTTGATAAATTGAAGAATGCGATTTGAAAAAATAAAGAAAAATATGATTAGATTTAATTCAAAATTAAATGAATTCATGAGAGGGATGGAGAAAGAGATAGGAAATTGAAAATTTTATGAAATTGAAAAAATTAGGGGCCTCAATTATAAAGGTAAAAAGTGGGGTTGAAAAAAAATAGGGGCCTCAATTATAAAGGTAAAAGATGGGATTGAAAAAAATTAGAAGCTTCAATTATAAATGTAAAAAGTAGATTGAAAAAAAAAATTAGGGGCTTAATTATAAAGGTAAAAACCGAGATTAAAAAAACTAGGGACCTCAATTATGAAGGTAGAAAGTGAGATTGAAAAAAATTAGGGGTCTCAATTATAAAGATAAAAAGTGAGATTGAAAAAAATTAAGAACTTCAATTATAAAGGTAAAAAGTGGGATTACAAAAATTAGGGGTCTCATTTATAAATGTAAAAAGTGGGATTGAAGGCTCAATTATAAAGGTAAAATGTGAGATTAAAAAATTAGGGACCTTAATTATAAAAGTAAAAGTTAGATTGAAAAATATTAGAAAAGCCACAATCGCTCAAGGCACTCCCCTGTTAACCGACTCCGGAGTGCCTCAAATAACACATTGAATTCATCCTAATTTAAATCACAATGTGTGCATTAATAACAGTAGACACAAGAAAGAAAAGATCATCAAATCCATCTATTCTTGCTATGAATCATCAAAACAAGTTTGAAGAACTCTTGTTCATTCCAAACAAATCTAAAAAACACATATTAATGATATTATCTAAATTTCATCATTGTTAAATAAAAAACCTTCAAGAAAGCTCAATTTTCAAAATCTTTGAATTCTAAGGATCAAACCATGTTTTGAAAAGGTGAAGCTGAAAAAGATAACTCTTGCCTTAAAGAATTAAAAAAAAGAAGAATTTGGAGAAGTTTGATTGAAAATTTGTTCAAAATTAGCTTGAGAAAGTTAGGAAAATTAAAGAGAAATTTTAAGTGTTTATTAAAATATTTTAGAGAAAAATAAGTTTTTAGATCACTAAAAATTATTGATCAGTAGACAATAATTGTAGACGGTGGTTGGAGGATTCGTCTGGTAGTGTGGGTCTGGTGGTTATAGTAATATGGTCTGGTTTCAAGGTCAAGATCAATCTCTTCCTTCTATCCTCTCTGTTGCATGACTTATTTATAGTGTTCTGAACATATGTAGATTGAGAGTTATTATGTCATTGGTGTTGATTGGACATCCTAGTAAGTGATGACTTAGACTAGCTTATCCTCAAAAGAGGCCACATGTATCAATACATGGTTGTTGGTGATCACATGCGAAAGATGTTCACAAGTAGTCGTTGTTGATAGTTCGTAAGGTAAATTATATGTTCCTGAAGTTTCGCGTAAGTCTTATATATCTAAAAATTCATGGGGCTAAAGATTCACATGTAGTAACAAAAATTGAGGTGGATGGTTGATTCTGAGAGAAATTAAAGAAAAGAGTATTTGGTAAAATTCTTGGGTGAAAAAAGTGAGGGAAAAAAACCTGAATTTAGTTTTTAAAGCCCCGAACACTAACTAACTTGAAATTGAATAATTGTTTTTGATAATTTACAAGTTTAATCTCTTTATAATTTAGTCCTATTTTTCAATTTAAAACTCTCTTTGAATTAAATTCATTTAAAATTCATTTTTCAAAACTTGATTTAATTAAAGTAATCTAATATAATTTTTGAAATTTCCAATCAAAATTTTAATCTTAAAATCATGATTAAATTTATTTTATTTTTTATTTTAGAAGTTTGAGCATTCCCTTGGGCCCCATCAAGGTCAGATGAGGAAGAAGAACCTTCAATTATTGCAATTGGGATGCTTAAAGTTCACCACATCTCGACTAATAAGTGAATATTTGTACTTACAATTATCGTTCAATGCATCACTTTGAAAAGAATTTATATAGTCGTTTTCATATGTTCAATTATATTTATTACAATTTCATATAAGTGTGATTTTTTAATAATAAAATATTTTTCTTCTTAAAATTCTGAATTCAAATAACATCCATATTCAAAGGCAAATACCACACAAATATACAAATGGGCTGTTTTCTTTCTTTTTATCCCTAAACCGTATGAAATAAGTATATTTTTGTCATAGGAAAATCACACTATTGTCAATCTCAAATCCCATATTCTCCAAGTTGGAAACTACCACCCTGTTATGTATGGCTCATAAAAAGTCTCGTTGTGGGGTTACGAATTATGTGGGTTGGGGGTGTGGGGGCGCAGCCCCCGCGGTACGGTACAGGGTTGATTTTGTAATTATATACCAGGGTTTTCTATTATAAATAGAGATGTAACCTAGACCTAAAAGATCATTGAATAAAACTTCTAGCGCCGCCTAGGC